GGCACGTTCTCATGGAAGGTAACATCCCGAGATACAATATAGCGGTTAAGATTGGGAGAGAAGCACCTGTAACCCTTTTGGAGACGAGAGTACCCAAGGAACACGCATTTCAGAGATTTGGGATCAAGCTTGGTGATAGTGGGACGTGTGTCACGAACAAAGCATGTAACAACGAAGATCTTTGGCTCAATAGGGAATAATCGTTGTCCTGGGAACAAAACAGAGAATGGAGTTTCTCCATTCAGGACAACAGACAGCATTCTATTGATAAGAAAACAGGCTGTTGATACCGCATCGGCCCAAAAAGACTTAGGGACATACATCTGAAATAGAAGTGCTCAGGCAACTCATGAAGGATACCATTTTGCAACATATAGGATTGAATTTGTTGGGATACATACTCTTTTGCATTGTCACTTCGTAAGGTTTTAATAGATGTTTGAAACTGAGTTTGGATTTCAGAATGAAAGGAACGTAAATGATTAAACACTTCTGAACGGTTTTTCATGAAGTATAACCAAGTAGTTTGAGAATAATCATCTACAAACGTAACAAAATACTTAAAACCAAACTTAGACGTTACAGGACATGGGCCCCAGACATCAAAATGTACTAATTGAAATGGGGACGCAGCCCGCTTATTGACTCTAGACTTAAGTGAACACGTTGATGTTTGGCAAACTGACATGACTCACATTATAAATACTGTAAATGGGAAAATTCAGGACACAACTTCTTGAGACTCTGTAAGGAAGGATGACCTAGTCGACAATGAACTTCAAAAGGAGATGATGAACTGGAACTTGCCAAGGAATATGATTTGGGTGGTTCAAATATGTATAGGCCATCCGACTCCCGTCCTCTACCAATAATCCTCTTCGTCTGCAAATCCTGAAAGACACAATGATCAGGAAAGAATGAGATACTACAATTCAAAGTGCGAGTAATTTTGCTCACAGACAGTAAGTTAATAGAAAATTTTGGTAGGCTCAGGACTGAGGATAACGAGACAAATGGGGACAATTTAACAGTGCCAGACCCAATTATTTGGGAGACAGATCCATCMRCTAYTGTGACTTGAGCTGAGGATGCATGTTTATTGAAATTTAGGAGAAGGTGGGAATTACCAGTCATATGGTCTGAGGCACCTGAATCAATGACCCATTTGGAGGAGGATGWTACAAAGCATTTGCCAGAGTTACCTGTCTCAGCAAACATAGCAGTGGAAGCAGTTGGGTGCTCATTTACCAAATGAGGTTCCTCTTTGTGTCTCATAGCTGTGTCATCTGATGTAGTTGCAGCATGTGCTAAGGAGAGTCTCTGATTTCTAACCTGCCGTTTCTTGCAATTAAACTTAGTATGACCAAGTTCATGACAGTAGTGGCACTCTACGTCTGAGTTAAAATCAGTTGGTCGATCATTGTGGCCTCCTCTAGTGCTACCCCTTCCACGATAGCCACCTCGAAAACCGCCATGGTATCCACCTCGGCTAAGTAAAGCCGAATTATGATCAGATGGTGGAGTAGGCTGAAAATCTTCATGCCGAAGAACTCGAGCAAGAGTCTCTTGAAGAGAAGGTATCACAGATTCATTTAAGAACTGAGATCTGATGGAATCATACTATGTACGTAAGCCAGTCAGGAAGCTTATGACAGCAATCTGTTCCCTTTGAGTCTGCATAGTTTTCACATCAGTACTCAATGGGAGAAGAGAGTTCATTTCCTCATATATCTTCTTGAATTCCATGGCATAGGTGGTAAGTGATCGGTTCTGTTGTTCCCCACAATGGAATGACTTACATACGCTGTAAATCCTTGAAATATTACTTTGTCCGGAGTACAGGAAGTCAAGATATTCTATTAGCTCTTTCACATATTCACAGTGACTGATTAAAGTTGAAACGGAGGGCTCAATAGAATTTATAATTTGCAAGAACATACGGGCATCTTGTTGTAACCAAAGGTCACGATTACCCGTAGTGGGAGGGTCAGATTCCAGATGGGAAGCCATTCCCATACTTCGAACATACAAACGAATCGTTTTGATCCATTCGAAGTAATTGTTACCATTAAGCTTGTTTTCAGTAACTTTACTACTGGCTGAAATTATGTCAGGAACACGAGTACTACCGGAGGCTTTATCATCAGTGTTCGTCATATTAATCAAATCAGAAACGAACACCCAAGGGACAGATTATCAAAGGAAACCAGACTAAACAGATGGCAATTAACAGAGTTTGACCAAACAGATGAGATCAGATCTGTTGCGACTAGATAACAGCAAAATTAGACCAGAAAGATGCCGGAAAACAAACCAGATGGGGATTCCGACCAGAACCCTAAAAGTCGAAGGTCGTCGGAGGCCGGAAAAGGGCTCACGCGCCGGCGCGTGGAGGCGTGACGGCGGCGGACTAGGGTTCCGACGACGGCGGGGGTTCCGGCGTGAACAGTAACTCTGATGTGAACAGTATCTCTAATGTGAACAGTAACAGCGATAAACAGGCTCTGATACCATGTAATCAGAGAGAACTCTCTATTATATGATTAATCAATAAAATTCAAATTTACAAGAGGAGAGACACTATATATAGACATAATTACACGGGAAACCCTAACCCTAAAACCCATCGGGCTTGGACGCATTACCATAAACAGGTTACTTAATTAACAATTTACAAGTCCAAAAGCTGACAAACAATGGTAAGATATATAGCTACCGATTGGATGATTAGTACATCATCTCATTCCTTTCGTCAAGGCAACAAAAACATTTGAGTATCCACTTTCTTCCATTTATGGCCTATCTTCAGTTGTGACTTTCTCTGGAAAGCTTGAACTAGGGCAATGTGTTGAACAAGTGGTGAACTTTCTTTAGGCTTCGCATCTTGTTTCCTCTTTTAAACTCCTAGAATATGCTATTATTATTCTCTTGAGGCAGAACTGGTACATATTTAGATTAAGAGGGATAGAAATGGATGGATGTGAGGACTCTGGATGAGGAAGTATAGACTCAGGTGGAGTAACAGTAAGAGGACTCGGTTAATGAGTCAAGTTATGTTTCGTAGAGGTTTCAAGGCTGAGGTTCATGTTCACTCTCCCCTGACCAGAAGACTTGGAGAAGTAGGTATACTCTCAAGAAGTTGTAACATCCATAGTGATGTAGAATAGGTTAGTGGAGTGGAAGGAGAATAACATTTAAAACCATTTTAGATTTGAAGATTAGCCTATGTTCACTCTTCCTTGACCATAAGACTTGGAGAAGTAGGCATACTCTCAACAAATTGTAAGTTCAACCACTCTATTTTGTTGTGTTGTGTCACAAAGATAGTTGTTGAGACTATCAGTAAAGTACCCATTGGCATTGTCGGATTTGAGTACCTATACTTTAGAGAGGAATTGCGTTTGGGTCACGAGATGAAATCTATGAAATATTTGTCCAACCTCCTATTTTTCTTTTATAAGGAATACCCAAGTAACCTGAGTATAATCATCCACATATGTTATAAGCCACCGTGTGCCAGAAATATCTTTTAATTCATGAGGGACTCCCACATTACTGTGAATTAAAGAGAATGGTGTCGAAGGTTTATAAAGTATAGAAGAAAAAATAGATCAAGTATGTCTTGCCACTTGACATATTTCACAAGGAAAAGAGTCTGGAATTTTTCTAAGGAATAGCTTTGGTGATAGTTAATATATATATTCTGAATATGATTATGTGATGAGCATTCGAAAAATATGGAACACACCATATTTGTGTCACATTATGCCATCTGAGATTTACATGTCTATTGGTTACATAAATTAATGATATTTAGACAGTGAGAAGTTGAACAAATATAGTAGTATTTAGGTAAATGTCTTGTATTATGTTTTTTTCAGTTTTGAGGGATGAAGGGAAGTCGTTATTTCTAGAGTGACAATCACCTTCATCGTAGTACTTCCATCATCAAGTGTAACCTTTATTTTGCTTTAAAGGACATGGCTTACTGTTGCTCACTGGCTGTTAATATGATAGGCTGAAACGTCAGAGGATTTATTTGAGTGGAAGGCTGCATTGGAGGAAGCTTTGGCAAATGCACCTAGTGCAGGCACAGGGATGGGACAAACTGGGATATCGAAAAATGAGAAGAGTGAGAATCCTGATGGTTCTCATGAACAGCGTAAGTATCTCCTTATCTTGGTTATATGTCAAAGTAAAATGTCAAGTGTTTTATGTGTGTCAATTTACTCGAGACAACTGAAGATTAAATCATAAAAGAAGACAATATTGTTCTATGCTGAAACAAGCAGCAACAAGATCTTCTGTCAGGATGTTGAACTTATAATTTATTCTTTTGGTTTGTGTATGTATGTTATTTTACAAACATATGTATATATATTTTACTTATTTGTTTTCTTCAAACAGCAAAAGACCGTTCGCCACCAAAATCTCTTGTCCTTGGTCGACCAGTATTATTTGCATTGGAAGATATAGATGGGACTCCATCTTTCTTGGAGAAAGCCCTTAGATATGTAGAAGAGCATGGTAAGATTATGGCACTTCTTTCTTTAACAAGTTTGTTCCCCAAATAAGTTTTCCTAAGATCTAAAATTTTCCATGTTGCTGGGAAAGCAATACAAAAGTGGATTGTAGTTCAAGTGTTCTTATATTGGACATTTTATGCGATGAATATGAAATGATTTTGAATTATTATTGTACATTTTATGCTAAATATGACACAAATATTTTGAATTATTATTGTATGTTAGTATGACCTATTGTTAGAAGATGATATCAATCGAGGCTTAGCAATGAAAAAGACAACAAATAGAAGAATGTATGCCTCCTAGCACCCATTGGCTCATATAAGTAAAGAAGAGATGTACGGTTGTTGTTAAGTGAAAAATTAAGGAGAGAGAAAGTATATAACTTTTATTACTTTAACATGAAAAACCCCATTATGTATACAATAGTCCCAAGTTATCTTCTATCTACTACCTTTGTGGGACTTCTTTTTCTACACTCACCATTCCCATCCTGGATGCAAAATTGTGAAGCAGTGAACTACTTATCCTCTTGGTGAGTATGTGTTATGCCCTTAGTAGTGTGGTAGTCAAATCAACAGGTCCACATAGGTTGCTGTGGTTGGGTGTAGTCACTAGAGGGTCAATCAAGTTTAATATGGTGGGCTATGATAGGATTGTACAAGTGCTTACTGATGTGGTACAAGTAGATAAAGCAGGGTAGTGAGCTGGTTAATAGCATCTAGTATAAACAAGGGAGGGGTCCTGGGAATATGTGGGGATCGATCGATTATGTGTGTTTGTCGTGAGCGAAAGCTCATCGTTTTGTGTGTTTGTGTGCTCAAAAGCTCCTGGGAGAGAACTTGGCCTCTCGAAAGCCGAGAACACTTTTGTAATCCCCCAATTTCGTCTATAACCATTTGAATCTTTCGATTCTAATAGAAATTTAGCATTTGATCAACACAAATGCATAAAATGAATTGTGCATTATGCATAAAATGACTGATCATATTTACTGCGTATGCAAAATCTATCCCAGTGTGAGAGATAAATGATCCTCTCTACCAATTGATGATACATTCAAACTTGAGGTTTAGTTCTATTAGAGTAACTACTAGTTTACATGTGTCAAAATAACGCCAACAACAGTGAAGGAAAGGACGAAAATTAAGGTTGACAACAAACAAAAGTAAGAGAAGAGCCTAATGTCACAGAATTGCCTTCGCAAGCTCACGTGCAGCCTTAGTGCTCAGACTAGTCAGCCATGCTACAAGAATACCAAATAAGATGAGCAAACACGAATGCTAAGATGATTAAGAGAAATCTTCTCTTCTATTAGTCAACTTCTCTACAATTGAGTGAAACTTTTTAGAGAACACGTAGATATTTACAAGGAAACTTCTAGTTAAATAATCCTTTGAAACGTATGGATCCTTCTAGAGTATGCTTTGACCCTCTTGATCCTTGCTTGGCTCCTCTTGAATCTTCTCCAAGGTTCTTCCATTTTCTTGATTGATTCAGAATGTTCTAGATTTCCAGAGAACCTCCTAGCAGGCCGTGACACAAGGCTATGATAACACAGTGTCACTCCCCTGGGGAAGGTTGTCTAAGAGGCCGGATTATTCTAGAACTTTCAAGATCATGGTGGGATCTTGAAGAGATATCAAGAAGATCCAAGCACATTCTAGAAGACTCCTCAGTCCTCACCCTTTCTAGGGTTTATGTCTCTAGATCCTTTTATGTAAATACCTAGGTAGAACCTTCTAGACCTCTATATCGCCTATAAATAGATGGTAGTCCCTTATTTGTAAAGCACCTAGAGAAATAAGAGTAATAGATGTAAGGGTTCAAACCTTGCCAAACAAACGATCTCGTAGGTCCTAAAATACCGAAATCCAAATGCAAATAAACCACAAACAACAAATGCGGAATATCTAGGGTATAGCAACAAGTAAATGGCTATCCAAGCATAATATACCAACCACAAGGTAATTCCAAGCCAATATAACCTTAAGCATTGAAATGTAGTAAAGCAAGTAACAAGACACGATATTTAACTCGGTTCCAACTATCGTAAGTGGGGTACATCCACCAGGAGAGAGAGATCACTTGTATTTGTGTACCATAGGGAGTTACAAAGCAATTTACAATGAAGTTTGATCACTAAAACTAGTAGAAAAGCCAAATGGAGTAAGCTCTGCTCTATTTTCTCTAGCTAGGAAGAATACAAAGAATTCTTCTGTTAGTAATCAATGTGAAGAGTCTGTAAATGTGCCAATGTCAATGAATGTATACTGATCTTTTATCATGAGATTCTTGTGCCTGTTACAAGCATATTCAAATCTGTTATATCCTACACGCTAAGATTTAATCTTTCTGTAATTTCTGAACTGTCTATCAACTATCATTTTGTGTTTTGGCATGGCTATTGTTTGCGATGTGTTTTCTATTTGATGTATCATTTCCTTTTGTTAGATGGTTTTCAAAGTAAATTTTGTAATAAATTCACTTGGTAATGAGAACACTCACGTACTTTCTTCTGGTGGTAATAGTTTTAGTATGGATATCTTTAGCTGCCATCGAACTTACCACCAAACTCACCATTAAAAGAGCATGTTATTTAATGCTTTTTTCTCTCCTCATAATCACATGCCCTTTTTAATTAAAGAAAAAAATGGTGAGTTTGGAGGCAAGTCTTGTCGTCTCCAGAGATTTACTCTTGTTATACTTATGTACTTGAACTTTTATTTTTGTGGCTGATCAAATGAAAGTAATGTTCCAGGAATTAAAGTAGAAGGAATCTTGCGGCAGGCTGCAGATGTAGAACTTGTCGAGCGCCGCATTCGAGAATATGAACAGGGTGGGTAACTTGGACCACTTGCAATGGCTAACAGAAATGAATGCCAACCCTTTATATCTACTTAACTAAATGTTTGTCCCAAATGATCATCTAAAGTGGTGACTTTATCTATGAAATGCAACTACATACGATTTAAGTGCAATTACAAGAGTCTTTTATGGGTTTAGGATATGGAAACGACATATGAATTGTTCTCTTCTGATTGCAAATGAAGAACACATATATTTAGATCTTCATCTAAGCAAACATACACTTGAACGTAGATAAAGTATACTTAATTAATGGAAAATCTGAGGTGAAGATTGCATTAGAGAATAGGAAAATAGAGAAGGATGGACCAAATGGAACGGTAGGGAGGTCTGAAAGTGTCTACTACACGTGGATGTTTCTTTGTCAGCTACGAACAGTCCATCTCTTAATATTCTGATATGAGATATTTAATTTCAGAGAAAATATGTTGTTATTCTCATTGAAAAGCAATAGGGGTATTTATACAGCTTAGAGACCTAACTAGAATCCCATAATTTAAGGGATTTGATAACATACAAGGAAACTTACCAAACTATACAAATATCTACCAAATCTATTACAAAAGGAAAAATAATCCCAAGAAATCAGGGATTATATTCATTGTATCAATTCCACACTTCCCTTCAAGTTGGTGCATATATATCATACATGCCCAACTTGTCTATAAGACGATCGAATGCCGGTCTAAATAGTCCTTTGGTTAAGATATCTGCTGCTTGCTTTTTGGAAGGGATGAATGCTATGCAGATAGTCCCATTGTCCAACTTTTCCCTTATGAAATGTCGGTCCACTTCAATGTGTTTTGTCCTGTCATGTTGGACTGGATTTTGCGAGATGCTAATGGCTGCTTTATTATCACAAAACAATTTCATAGGTAGCTCAACCTTTAAACGTAAGTCAGCAAAGACCCTTTTGATCCAGATTATTTCACATATGCCATCTGCCATTGATTTGAATTCAGCTTCTGCACTGCTTTTGGATACAACACTTTGTTTCTTGCTTCTCCACATGACAAGATTTCCTTAAGTACAATATCCCGATGTAGATCTTCTACTCATGTTTGGGTCTGCCCAACTTGCATCAGTGAAGGCTCCAATGGTTCGGTTGTCTTTTTTTTAAAGAGTAGTCCTTTGCCTGGACAACTCTTTAAATATCTAAGAATTATGTGGACAGCTTCTTCATGTTCTTCATAAGGACAATGCATAAATTGGCTCACCATGCTAACTGCAAAAGCAATGTCAGGCCGTGTATGTGATAAGTAAATCAACCTTCTAACCAACCGTTGATATTGATGAATATCAACCTGCTTCCCATTAGTAATGCCATCCAACCTTTTGTTGGGGTCAATTGGAGTATCTATCGGTCGGCATGCACTCATTCCAGTATCTTGTAAAAGATCCAGAACATATCTCCTTTGTGATAATACAATGCCTTTACTTGACCTTGCAACTTCCATACCTAAAAGGTATTTCATTTCTCCAAGGTCCTTTACTTCAAACTCTTTAGCAAGTTGATCCTTCATTCTTTCCATCTCCTCATGATCGTTCCTAGTGACGAGTATGTCATCTACATAAACTATTAAGGTTGTAATTTTACCTTTTGAGGAAAATCGAGTGAATAGAGTATGATCAGATTGAGCGTGTTTGTATCCGTGACTTTTGACTACTTAAGTGAAACGTGCAAACCATTCCCTTGGGGATTGCTTGAGCCCATTCAAAGCTTTCTCTAATTTGCACACTTTTGTGCCAAAGTTACTTTCAGACCCAGGTGGTGGCAACATATAAACTTCTTCTAGTTTGCCATTCAAGAAGACATTTTTCACATCAAATTGCCTAATTGGCTAATCAAGATTTGCTGCTATTGAAAGTATAATCCTTATGGTATTTAACTTTGCAACTGGAGCAAATGTTTCTGTATAATCAATGTCATAGGTTTGTGTGAAACCCGTGGCTTGTAGTCTTGCTTTATATCTTTCAAGGGCTCCATCAACATTAAATTTTAGAGTAAATACCACTTATAACCAACTGTGGGAGTACCTTTCGGAAGATCTTCAACACGCCACGTCTGATTCTTCTCAAAAGCACTCAATTCCTCTAGAACAAGCTTTTTCCACTCTGGACTTTTAAGGGCTTCCTGTATAGTGTTAGAACTTTGGACACATTTGAAGTGAAAACAGAGTATTTTGGTGAGAGTTTTGAGCAAGACATGTAATTGGACATAGGATATTTAACACATGTACGCTTTTCTTTTCTCAAGGCTATTGGAACATTCAGGTCGCATGACTTACCAATAGATGGTTCCTTCCTCGGTTCGGAATCAGGAGCCGAGATTGTGTTGAACTCTTTGTTTGGAGGGAATCTTCGCTCATACACTTTTCCGAACTGTTTTTTTTCTTTCTCACTACAATCCTCTTGAGTAACTTGTTGAGGTTCAAATGGTACTTCAGTTTCTTCAGGAGGAATATATGTTCACTTTCTCGATCTAGTGGTGGTTCTATTGGAACATCTACATTTTCCTCGTGTTCAAAGATTGGACAATCTTTGGGATTTGAGTCAAATGCAGATGGCTTCTATGTAGTTGGAAATACTAGATCCAAAAATTTTAAGTCTTCTTTTTTATTCTCCCCCTGAAGACGAGATTTAAAGAAAGGAATATTTTAAAAAAACTTAACATCCATGGTAGCAAACATTTTTCCCGTGTTTGGATGAAAACATTTAAATCCCTTTTTATGTGGTGCGATTTCTATAAAAACACATTTGAGTGCTTTGTGGTCTATTTTGCCAAGGTTGATATTGGTGTTCTTAATAAACACAGTACAACCAAAAACTTTTAAAGGCATGGAACAAAATAATCGTGACTTTGGAAAAGAACTTTCTAAAACAGATATGGGTGTTTGAAACTTTAAAGCTTTAGCCGGCATTCGGTTCATTAAATATGTAGCATGCAAAAGAGCATCTCCCCATAAATATTTTGGTATTTTAGTTGAAAATAGTAAAGCCCGGGTGATTTCAAGCAGATGCCTGTTTTTTCTTTCGGCTATGCCATTTTGTGGTGGAGTATCTACGCATGAGCTTTGTTGAACTATGCCTTGAGCATCTAAAAAATTCCCTAGAGTTTTAGTAAAATATTCCCTACCATTGTGACAAAATTTGAATCTTAGTGCCAAACTGAGTTAGAATCATGTTATAGAATTTTTTGAAAACATGTTCAACTTCTGATTTTTCTTTAAGCAAATAGACCCAACAAACCCTTGTATGATCATCTATGAAGGTAATAAACCATCTATTCCCATGACATGTAGTGACCTTAGAAGGACCTCATATGTCACTATGTATCAAAGCAAAAGGCATAGATGGTTTATATGGTTATGGATGATACTTACTTTTGTGTAGTTTTGCTAACGCACAAATCTCACGTTGAAAGGATGAGGGATTTTTATTACCAAATAACATAGGAAACAAATGTTTTAAATAAAAGAAACTTGGATGTCCGAGCCTGAGTGCCATAATAAATCTCATTATTACTCAAATCAGATCCGGTGAAGAAGCAAGAAGTCTTCTTATTAGAGTGGATTCCCTCATCTAGTATGTAGAATCCACCACATTCATCAGCACGTCCAATCATCCTCCCCGAGTCCAGGTCCTAAAAAATGCAAATGGAAGGAAAGAACAAAGCACGACAATTGAGGTCAGCAGTGAGTTTATGAACAGAGATGAGTTTACAAGAGAGTTTTGGTAGGACATTAGAAAAGAATGAAGTCCGATGATATCTTTATATCACCAACTCCTGCTATTGTAGAAAAAGTGCCATCAGCAATTCGCACTTTTCTATTTCCAGCACAAGGCTTATAAGAATTGAAGAGATTCGAACAAGAAGTCATGTGATCAGATGCCCCTGGATCCAGGCTGATGTATTTTGTAAGCACATATGAGAAGATGAATAGTTAGACGAAGGGGTGTTTTGCCCAGATTGCACATAGGCACAAGATGGATTAGCAGAAGAGGACATAGATATGGTTTTAAGTAATTTTAGGAGCTGCTCCATTTGATCCTTTGTGAATTGAGATTGTCTTGGTTGGATTTGAGTGTCTTGAGTCGTTTTAACTTTGGTGTGCAGGGCTCTTTCAGACTTACTCTTCCGGCCGATAGGCTTGCCATGAAGCTTCCAACACTTGTCCCGACTCCCGAGTGTGCCAAAACCTCTTACAATGGTCACAATAAGGTTTCTTTTTTTTTTATCACCCCCTTGTTCTATGCCATGGACAAGTAGGGCTGTTGTGTCCGCAACATTAGTAGGTTGGATCCCATTCGTCATTACTTTTCTTCGACTTTCTTCAAGTCTTACTTTTGAAAGAACTTCTCGGATGGATGGAAGAGGCTTTCGACCAAGAATTCTTCCCTTGACTTCATCGAGACTTGGGTGAACACCAGCGCCACCAGGAACATGAACACATGGTCATTCTCCTCTTTTTTCTTTTGCCGAGTACAATCTGCAGAACTCTCCCGCACATCATCATGGCATTGATCCAATTCTTGCCATAATGCTACCACTCATTATAGTAAGAGGTAACATCACAGTTATCTTGTTTGGCTTGCCACATATGTGTTTTAATTTCAAAGATCTGGGAAGAATTCTCCAAGTCTAAATATGTCGCTCGAGCAGAGTCCCACACTTCGTTTTCATGAACATATGTGGCTTAGCAATGGACATGTCCATTGAATTGAGTAGCCACGCAGTTACTAAAGAATTCTCAGAACACCATTTACGGTATCCTGGATCAGATGAGACCGGTTTTGAAGTTTCACCGGTCAGGAAGCCCAACTTACCTCGACCATCAATGGCGAGTTTCACAGATTGTGACCATTCGAGATAGTTTTTCCCACTCAAACAATGCATAGTGATTTGCATCGGTGATTGAGAGTAGTCAACTACTGGTGCTGATCGATCGGTAGATGTGACAGTGGAGTTTGATTCGGACTGCGGCATGTTGAATATCGGTTACTGGTTCTGATTATTAACAGCAAATAAGAAGTTGTTATAGCATATACCTTTGTAGCTCTGATACCATGTAAATTTAGAGAAAACATGTTATTCTCATTGAAAAGCGATAGGGGTATTTATACAGCTTAGAGGCCTAACTAGAATCCCATAATTTAAGGGATTTGATAACATACAAGGAAACTTACCAAACTATACAAATATCTACCAAATTTGTTACAAGTTTTGTAAAAATAATCCCAAGAAATCAGGGATTATATTCATTGTATCAATTCCACAGATAGCATGGTAAAACTTTGGGATCTAGTAGACACATTGTCCAAGAATCAAATTTGAATCACCTATAAAACTTTCAATATTGAGATGCATGTTACTTTTATGTTGCCTGAGAACCAAGAAAAAGAAAAGATTCATTCTGCGGTAACGACACATTAAATTTGAACATTGGATAAGTTGATTCGCATAAATATTTAAAACTGTATGCTACTAGTTGTCTAATCTATTTGGCTTGAACTGTTGATGACAATATATAATAATGCGAGCATTATTATGGTGAATAGTTATTATAATCTCGGAAGCCTAGATCTTTTTTACAAGTTCATATTATGGGACGATTTCTATGATTTGGTACAGGAAAAACTGAGTTCACTGCGGAGGAAGATGGACATGTTATAGGAGACTGTATCAAGGTACAAAAACAAAAAGAAATGTCCTCTAGGCTCAACATAAATTTTAGTTCTTCCTTTTAGTCTATGATTTTGTTCTTCTGTTGATTTTTCGGTGTTGTTTCTTTACAATACTGTTTCAGTATGTTCTGCGGGAGTTACCATCATCTCCAGTTCCAGCATCTTGCTGCAAAGCTTTGCTACAAGCATTTCGTAAGTTTGTTGCGGTGTTTCTACAAACCAAATGCACTATGATATCGCTCTCTGAAATCTATGACAAGTGCATGTGATTAGTCATTGGAATTTACTGAAGCAACATAGCATGGTCATCCTATGCAAGAGCCCTATAAAATTGTAGCACATCCATAAGAAAATCGAGCTAGTAACAAAAAATAAAAGTAACATTACTGTTATTATCTCAAACCTTGTGATATATAGAAACTAAAACTATACCCACACATATTGCATCCTCATGAACCAGTTACTCTTGATAGTAACGTTTGGCAAAGTGCACCAACAAAGCCCGACTGTTTTTCAGTCATACTCTTTTCTTGTTTGTGTGCATGTCCTTGTAGTTAGAATAAGGTATGCACATCTTGATCCTCGAAGTTGAGCGATAATCTTTTTGAGCCTGGATGATTATCTTATTCTGTTGCTAGCTTCATATCTGTTTTGTTTGTTCCCGTTTCTGTTCTTATTTGTTCTTGATTTATGCGTCTACTCCCTTGCTGAGTGGACTTTGTTCGTATCAATTGTTTCCCGGCTGAACATCCACTTGTTCAGTAATCAAATCATGCATTATGATCTTGAAGCAGCATTCAGTAATTTGACATTCATGAATGACTTGAGATTTGATAGGATAATCTCAGCAAGATCTGTCTAGAGCAGAATCTACACTTATCACAAGACATAATTAATTAGTTGTCTGGCTGTTCAATAAGTCTCTCGGGATAGAAGGTTTAGTAGAGTGGCAGTATATTCATTAGTTCTCTGTTCTAAACCTGTAACATAGAAAGAAAACCATTACAATTTAGGTAGTCAGAGAATTATATACGTAAGCATATCTCTGTGAAAACTTACCTGTACTGGTCCTAAGTATCTTAGTTGTTCCTCGTCGAAGGTAAACATATTCTTCTAGAATAAACCAAAAAGAATCTCATCTCTTGTCCATAAGAGTTGAATATATCTTTTCTTTGCGATAATTTTTATTTCGGCACCATTCTACACTTTATTATTATCTAACTCGTATTATTTTATTTTGAATGGAACAATAGTATAGTACTATTTTGCAGGATCTTTTTATGCCTTCATCAGTGCTGGTTTTTTTAGAAAAAACTTGAACTATATAGTCTCCTGATACTTTGTCTTTGTTGCATTTGTTTATACCTTTCTTACAACACCAGACTCCCACATGTCTAGACTCGCACATGTAAAGTTCTCCCCATGTATTTGAAACTAGGTTATCTAGGGGTATTTTTATATTTTTATCTTCTTGATCCTTGTGATATCAGAGTGCTTAATAACATTGTCAACAGTTTTCAATGGTCTTTGATTTGTATTTTAGCTTGTTCTGTGTTATTCTATTTTAGCATATAACAATGAACAACTTATGATTAGGAACTGATCGATCCACAAGAGTCTCTTGTATGCGTGCAGCTATATGCGACACCTTTCCTGAACCAAATCGCCGTCTATTGCAAAGGTAGTTGATAACATGACTAGGATCATATGGTCCGTGTCAGTTCTTTTCTTCTGCTCACTGATCCAATCTTGCTTTTTGGGTTATCTTGTTTTCTGCCATCAAGTTTCTTTAATATATATGGTACCTTCACTTGGTTCATTTGCTCCTGATGCATACAGAATTTTGATGACGATGCAAGCTGTTGCTGAGAACAAGGATGTGAACCGAATGAGTGTTCCTGCTGTTGCTGCTTGTATGTCACCGCTACTTCTTCGGCCCCTTTTGGCTGGTGAAGTTGAGCTTGAGAATGAGTTTAATATTGGTGATGGATCTGCTCAACTTATGCAAGCAGCCGCAGCAGCAAACCATGCCCAAGCGATCATTATCACCCTGCTAGAGGAATATGATAATATCTTTGGGGTAGGCTCTAGAGTTTTCTTACTTTCATCATTTTTTATTTAAACTTTAATGCCTTTATATCTATTCATCATATCTATGCATATAAGTAGGTCAGATTTTTGGGGTCTTTTCTCTTTCAACAAGTTTCAAGCTTGCTTTTCTCACAGTATTTTGGGCTGGGATATGAATGATAAGTCTTGAAGCACATATTTATCACTTGTTATAATATCAACATCCATCTCATTAGTTGTAGCATATATGGTAAGTCTGGAAGTTATATTATATATAGATCAAACATTTTAAAAAATGAAAATATATTCATTAACTTGACACAATAAGACTTGACATTTGCTAAACTATAAATTCAAATTCTATACTGACTAGTAAAATGTGAATGTTGCAGTCTCTAATACACCTTAATGCTAATAGGCAACATTCTCATGTATTTTTGACTGACTCTACTAATTAGATAGGTTCTGAGTTTAGGTATGCAATTAGGTTCATAGACATTAAGAAGCTCTCATCAGATATGATAAAATTTTAATTAATTACTTGTGGGGCCATATAGATTTGTCTTGCTGATGTAACGATGTCTGTAAATTCATGTCCTGTTATGAGCCAAATGTGTCCATGATGATAATGTTGTTAATACCAACTATGGAAGTGAATAACAAGCAAAATGTTGTAGGAACATTAATGTAATGATACCAAGTCCCAACAATTATTTTTCATCATCAGGAAAATTTTGATTGTGCAAAGCCCTTATTCTATATATTTGCTACTTCATCGAATCCTCTTTTCTGCATGCAGACGTTTCTTTGCTCCTCAAGAGCTAATGGGAATAGTAATAGGAGGGTTTGTCACACCTTTTTCTTTAGTAAACAGTCTATTTTTCTCTAGTAAACAGTCTATTTTTCTCCTCTTATCAACTTACCATTGGCAGGCTTACATGAAACAAAATGAACTACTCCGAAGTGTATACTGATAATGGTCTCGTTATATTCATCCTCTTATTGACTTATTATTGGCATTTTTCTATGAAACAAACTTAACTTTTTACATATATATAGTGGTGTTTTGAAATTTAAAAAGCCTGGAAATACAATAATTCATTCCTCTTGTTCACATAATACAACATGGTATTTCATCTTACATCAGCTTTAGCATAATCTTCTCTTCATGATTTTGGAATCAACTGAACAATTCTTCAGGAAGGGGACATGTTATCTGATCTATACTCTGACTCTGACGAGAGTGGAACTGAGAGTGAAGAGCTTAGTGATGATGCCTATGATGATGACGACTATGATGATGGTGATTATACATCTGAGGGTTCTTGTGCGGATGAAGATGCATCTAGCACCTATAGCGAGTCTGGAGATGATGGAAACAACAATCAACGTAACAGCAAGGTTGTATCATGCAGTTGTTAATCTGGGAGTTGGTAACTCCCTCCATCCCAAAATAAGTGTCCACAATGAAAATCCGGAGAGTCTTAGGAGTGTGTAACTATTACAACTTTAAATAACTAAATGACAGTTACCTTAATGATAGAGAGAGTAATTACTATCTCCATCTCATAATTAAGGGTAGAATTTGAAAGCAGGCACTTACTTTTGAGAGTGGACACTTATTTTAGGACAAACTAAAATAGAAATGTGGACACTTATTTTGGAATGGAGGTAGTATATGAGTATCATTAATTTGTTTCTATCGTATACATTCTCTAAGCAATCACATCAAAATGGTGCTCTGTTGGGTCAAGATAAATAGGTGCTGCTTTCTTTCTCCTCCCATACCCATGCACCTTTTTTGACTTCTGAGCAGTCTTTCATTTATTATGACTTCAGTGGTGGTCTATATGCTCTGCTGTAGACCTTGCTTCGGTCATTCATTATTTCATCTCTCTGTATTACCTTGGAAAAACATCTCATAACTCATGGTAGCACAAATGGTTACGCTCAATATTAGGCAGCAGAAAAAATGCTCATAATTTACATCTGGGAGAAATTATAGTTCTTTCTTAGGAATGACAACCAGTGTGTCGTCATCTTGATTTTAGTTGCTGGTTTTGGGTTACAACAAATAAGAATCCTAGTAGCTATCTTGTTATCACCTTGCTATTTCATTGAACCTCTCTCTCTCTCTCTCTCCCTCTCTTTCTATTCTTCCTTGGTTTTCCACAATATTTCCTCAAGTACAGTAATGCTTGTGTGCAGTTACGTGCAGCACCTGTACTTCCAATAGCTTAGGTTATTACTTTGTAAGTTTTGCTTCTGTATTATGTTCATAATTCTATTTTCCTTGAGTGCAGGCAAAGAAGAAAACGTCCATTGAAAACGTCGATGTAATAGCCGAAGAAAGGTAAGTGATGATCCATTGACCTGCATGAGTGATTAAAACATGAGTACTTTGTCCACATATGCACCATTCGTTAAATATTGACACTTTAATCTTCTTGGCAATTGGATAAAGGTATTAAAGTTAGTTGGTTGACCATGTGAATGCCAGTCATTTAAATTATGTAAATTGTTTATGAAACTGAAAGTATTCTCTTGTAAGCAACAAAATTAGAGAGGTTTACTGTTTAGTACTATATTTATTTTCTGTAGATGCGTTTAAGAAATTTCAAATAATATGATTGTTTTTAAGGTATGAAGATGAATTTTCTTAAGAGATATACCATGAATTAATGGGAGTTACCGAGGATATATTTAAAACTGAAAATGAGTTGTCTAAATCAGGTAATTGATAGAATGATATGGATAAAGGAAAGAGGATTTTTGCTTCTGGTACTCAGAGACGGCAGCAAGACCCACTACACATTGTATGTATTAATTTCAGGCCAAGAAGAGAGAATGAACATAAGATCATTGTAGCGGGATTCAGATGTTATTTTCACAAAGGAGATAAGAGCATCTCCTACAGTTTATTAACAATTTCTCCAAAATGGAGAAAAAAGGAGTCAAAATCTCCAAAAGAGTTTATCAAACTCAACTGAGTCTCCATATTGGAGGTTTCAACATTAATTATATTACTATAATATTCAATAATGTAACAGAAGTTCTTTGTTTCTCTTTTCCATTTATTTCATTGGTTGGTTGGAGGTGTTTACATTGGGAATAACAAAAAATCGAGTTTGTGGAGAAATTTCCAAATTTGGAGAAAATTGCATGCTCTCTCCGACTTTCTCCATTTTGGAGAAGCTGTTGGAGCAAAAAAACTCCAAGAAACTCCAAAAACCTTATATTTCTTCATTTTGGAGGAACTGTTGGAGATTCTCTTAACACATTAAAATATCTAGAAGAAGGTTGGGTGGCACCACTCGGGAAGAAAGTATGCACAATAACTTGTGATGATCTGGTCTTCTTCAGTGTAGACCTTTTAGCAATCCAATGAATATGGGTGACTTGTATCATGAAGAAGGTACCAGAAGGTAGTGGTAGGTTGAGATTTAGGGAAAAAAATAAGTAGTGAAAGGGACTTAAAATAATGAAATGTAGTCAAGGACTTTACTTTGGAAGGAAGATGGTAAAGGAGTGCAATCTCTATGGATGAATTCATTAAGAATGGTCTATCTTTTTTTTTTTTGCCGTAGGTATCATTCTTAGCCTACCTAGCCATATTGGGATAGAGGCATCTTTTTTACGTTGTGATGAAAGAAAACTCACAATTTTGTGCTCTTTCTCTAAACCTGTTCATCTATGATTATGTTAAGGAAAATGTATCGGTTTGAGTTATCCTGAAAATATGGAAAGGGGAGTTAGCTATATGCCGATTCGAAATGGTATCATCCCTGAATTTTGATATCTGGGAACATTCTTAAGGTTATAAGAGACTTTTATTATGAAAACTTTGTAGGAGCCTTATACAGACAATTTACAACTATAACTTAACCATGGAGATTTTAGGTAAATTTTTGCAAAGTTTTCTGATTACTTTTTTTTCTCTTATTTTGGTTAGTTCATCTTTGTTCATTACTTTTCAGACGAAATACTTATCTGTTAATGAAGAAGAACCTGTTAAAGACAGATAGTATCCCTCATGATTAGTTTATATAGTAGTTTGTATGTGTCATGCAAACATTTCATTAATGTTGCATTTTGTGAATCTTGATTGTTTGCATCTTTCGGTAAAAACCAGTTCAGATTGTATTCTCTTATCAAGTCGTTAACTATTGATTTTATTTCAATGTTGTTAGAGATGAAATCTTTAGGCTTGAGGCCCTTAAAGCTGATTTGGTAAAGAAAATCGAAGCAGAGGTAGTAAAGTCATGTCCTTTATCATATCTTCAGCAAAGTCTAAATTGTTTGTGGATGCTAATTCCACGAATATGAACTTGTTCTTACTATAGGCAAGACACAATTCAATTCTGAAAGAGGAACTTTTGAGCAAAAAGGATGCTTTGGGGGACCGACATCTAGCTCTTGAGAAGGAGGTAAGGTCTGCATACATCTTATCCCCAGATCCTACCTCTGCATGGGATTTACTGGGTCTGTTTTGGTTTGGTCTGCATGGGATTGTGGATGATCTTTTTCCAACTAATCCTGGGGCCCTGCAGAAAACAGTCAGGAAAAATCGTCAGTGGCCTTAAGGAGACTTGAAATGACGACTTATGGGGAGGAGCCCCAGGCCTAGCCTTTGTTTTTCACTTGAGGTGGTCGTCAATGTTACTGTGGATGAATTTGAATGTGTCTGCAGGTGGCAGCTTTAAAGGAACAGTTGCAGAGGGAGAGAGAGTTGAGGAAAATACTCGAGGCTGGACTCACAATGTCAAAGAAAATATTACCCTTACCTGGCTCCATTGATGAAAAGGTATCTTACTATATTTTCTTGATGCTCTCTTGTTTATGAGTATTGGTATATGTAAATTATTAACTTCTAGATGCTTTAAAGACCAAAGCAGATCTCGAGGATATTGCCCAAGCTGAGGCTGAAGTCATCAGTTTACAACAAAAACTTGATGATCTTGAAATACATCTAAGTCAACATGATCAAGGAAAAGTGTAAGCTTCCTTTCTCCCTCTTCAACCCTTTTCTCTGACTACACATTCTGGTGTTAATTGGCGTCAACTGTGAACCCATATAGACATGTTACTTGCAGCATGGTTGGCATATTTTTCTTTTGTATGCATATTTTTCGTTTGTTGACAAACATACGTCATATTCTTATGTATTTTTTTGGAAATTTCTCCTGCCGACTGCTGATGAATGTTCTTTTACCTATGAATGAAGATTTAACAAATCTCTCTTTTTGACCATTATCTCTTCTTGCATATTTTACTACATATTCTTCTCCTGTTCTTTGGGTGCAGAAAAGATAAAGAGAAGGATCGTAAGAGTAAGGTATAATACTATACATGTGATTTATTCGTTTTTACTATTTCCCTTGTTCTCTATTATCCATTTTGTTGGTTTCATCAAAGTTCCAAACAAATAGGATCCACAATCACATCTTCATTTCACCTCACACCATATACGACTTAAGAAAATGTGGAAAATAGTGATTAAGGATGTCATTCTTGCACAAACCCACGATGGCCGTTGAATAAGCCCTGGGGCTGACTACACTTTTCGGTCTAAAGATATGATATTTATGAGTTTTTTCAGATTTTCAGTAAATTTGAAATAGACGACGTAAAAAAAAAAACTCTAGAATAAGCTAATGTTCTACCATGGCTAGATGATTTCAATTGACCCGCATGAGAATTTTTGTTGCTTGTTAAAGGATAAAAACTCAGGCAAGGAACAACATGACAAACATCCTTTCCACTCTTTTTCTAGTAAGTTGCCTCCAAACCAGCAACCTGATTCAACACGCAAAGGGGAACCGAGTATGAGCAAGTCTTCTTCAAGCACTGTCAAAAGATCTAACTCAAGGGGTGAGGTACACATATACTTGCTATTTTCGATTTTCTTTAATACTGTCTCTGTCCCAAAATAATTGTCCACATTTCTATTTTAGTTTGTTCCAAAATAAGTTTTCACTTTCATAAGTGTCTGCTTCCCAATTCTACCCTTTAATTATGAGGTGGAGAAATTCATCACTCCCCTATTTATAAGAGTAAAATTGTCTTTTACTCAATTAAAAAGTGTAATAATTACACATTTCCAGAACTTTGTGTCTTTTTCATTGTGGATATTTTTTTGGGACGAAGTGGTTCATTCCATGGTTATCTAGGTTTCATGGTAAGCATATGATGCCAAAGATTGTGCGCCATTCCACGTCCCATGGAATCCGTTAAAATGTAAACCCTCAAAACAAAATAACCAACACAAAATAACGAGAATATACCCTCAGGGCTTAATGAATAAATTGAGAATTCCCCCATGATCTCCGATATGTCTCAACATTGTAAGCAAGTTTGTGGGTGAGCATGAATTAGAGCAGCCACAATTGAGCTTTTTGGCCATGTAAACTTGTGAAAAAGCTCCCAACAAAAAACCTGGTTGCAAGATCTCAAAAAGCTTGTTTTTTGCTTGTTCGTCTCACTTTTTCTTTTTGAAAAAGCTCCAATGAAAAAGTCCAACCATTGTGGATGCTCTTATAGTTGTAATAGTTACTCTTAAATGCAAGGATCAAGACCGTAATGATCATCCCCGTTAAGTTTCGGTTACCTTGTAAATTCCTTCCAACTATAGGGACTAGTATTCCCATGTCGGGAAATAAACTTACATCATCAAACCAAACTCATAACTGATTGTTTTTTAATATGATGGGGGTGTAAACGAATAAGATATAGTCATACATATGGCTTCCGCTATCGTATGCATTTAAATGTTATTGGTCTGATATTTGATGAAATTAGATGAATAATATGTTTATATGATGTGACCAAAATGCGAATGTTTTTCTCAACCATAATGTTATTTGATAAATGTTAGTTATTTTCCCATACATTTATGGATCCATATATAAATTTGTCTATAGCAGATACTTGAGAATATTCACATATGAATCTAGACATACATGTTTCATTTGGAACCCAAATGATTCACAACATTCATGATCTAACTTTCTATCCATCTATGTGGTTTGCAGGCAGCTAATACAAGCTCAGCACTGTCAAAAATAACAAACAGGCTCAACTTCCTGAAAGAACGACGCAACCAAATAACAAATGAGCTGGACACCGTAGATAAAGAACCGAATAAAGGTCAATCATCAACACTTGATGAATCTGACGACCAATCATCCGTAGACAACACTTAATCCCACCATATAGCATCACTTAATAAACCAGTTAATCAATCACTCCACAGATAATAAAGCGTCGAGTTTAGAACAAGATCAAAATCCAAGAAAAGATGATAAGAAACACCCGACGGTTTCCACCAAGAACATAACTCCAAAACATAACTGTTTTGCTATATATAGTTCAGATGACTTTATAATACCTGGAGTACTTGTGGGGCTAAATTGTGGCTTTTAAAGTCGACTTGGTATTGAACCCATGATCAAACCCATGGCTGCAACTTGCAGCCTCAAAGAAAATCCAAAATCTGGAGATGGTTGATGCAAGTTTCTAATTTACGGTCGAAGTTTTGGTTTAGGGATGAGATTGTAGGGATTCTTGTAATTATTAGTGTGGTTTCTTTGTAAGTGCAACACTAAATTGTCATTCTGTTTTTGGCTATGGCTTTGTTGTTTCAATCCTGGTGTAGTTCTGGTTTTGTACCAACCTCTTGCTTTACCAAACTACTTAGAATTCAGTTCTCTTATTGGGTGTGCGTAGCAAGTACCGAAAACCTTACCCAGTAAAATAGCATAGCAAGGGCCTAAAATCTTACCAGGTAAATAAAAGCTAGCAAGCACATACCAAAAAAAATACGCTTACCAGCAAAAAAGTTGGCCAAGAATGTTACCTGATAAGGTAAGTTAGGGTGGTGACTCTTAGTAGTCAATGTTTACATAGTAACCATTTGGTAAATGACCCTTTAATTTGTTGCTTGTTTTTTTACTAGTAGTTGTCCGTTCTTGTCTTTTCGTTCACACTTTTTTCACAATTGTTCTACTCTTAACATTTCTGAAAATCAAGGGTTCAAACCTCAACAAAGGTGAAAAGTATTTGCAAGCATTTGTCTGTGTATAAAAAAAAACAGTTAGCTCTATCATTTCTTTTACATAACGAACCATTCGATATGCTTATTAATATGGTAATAGATACAAAGTGTGAAGAGTAAGTTACATTTTTGTCCCTGTTGTTCTATGAAAGTTACAGATCAAGTCCCTCAAATGAAGTAATTAATATATGTTATTCATAAGTCCTTGTGTTTGATTTTGTAGCAAAAATAATGCTAAAAATAAAATATTTATTTCATTATTATTAAACCATTTTTGAAATACATGTTCTTGACTTTATAAAATATTTGCAATAAATATTTATCCTATTTTGATTACATTGAAGATATATCGTGGGTGTTTTTACATTGAACACAATGTATCGTGTTTTTCATTCTCCATCACGATAAACGACGCCCACAAAATTCCCTCTCCTATGATTTCCGTCACCACCCCGTCATAACCCCCCCCCCCCCCGGGGGCATATGGAGGCACGGGCCATCAGTTTGTTGCTCCTTTGTAGTGTAAAGTTTTTTAGGGTCCTGAAAGGTTTTACCATATTATTTTGTTGTGTGAATTTATATATTCCTTGAAACTACAATAATAACACAAGTTTCTCTTGGTAGAGTTGGTTTGTATGGTATTTTCTCCCCTTAGGCGTATATTCGAATCTCATTTGTATCATTTTCGTAGTTTTTAATTTTTAATTACAGGTTTATTATGTTTCTAAAAGAATTTTGGAATAAAAAACTCGAATATAGGACCTCAGATACAAAAAGCAAAGAACTAACAAACATATCAGTGATGATTTTGTGAAAAATGTTCAAAGTTTCGTTTTTTACACTACAAAACAAAGAGACTTCATCGACGGAATTTGTTGCCTGTAATTACCAATGGATTTGTGATGGATCATCGGCGGTTTGACTACCATCGATGAATTACCGGCATATTTTTCCGTCTGTGACTGAAAATCCCCCAGTAATCACAATCACCGACCACACTTTCGTTGGCAATGAGTGACTGAAAATCCGCCAGTAATCGCAATCACCGGTCACACTTTCGTTGGCAATGAGATTCGTTGGTAATCCAACCCTGATGGCTTTTCCAACAGATTGCCAATAGATTTTTCCACCGGTGAAGCCTTTTTGTTTTGTAATGTTATAATCAAATGGTGCCATCACTTTGAAACAATTTATAGGTCTACCTCTGCTCCCCGTCCCTTTTTTCTCCTCCCTGGAATGCAAACAAAACTTTTTTTAGCCCTAATCACAAAATCGTTCAAAATGAACCAAAATCCCAACTTAAAATCGTCATTCGTTCATCCGATCAACACATATTCATGTCACATTCCACTAAAGATGCATGAATTTGCGTTTGTCGTTGTTTGCGTTTGCTGGTCAGAGAAGAGGCGGAGGGCTGGGGTGCAAGAGAGATGAGGTAGTTTATCGTTTCTAGTATTGTGGGGTTTTCTGTTTCTTGTTTTATTGAAGGTACAAATAGGTGCTAAAAAAATTAAGCTAATGAGTGTGTCAGTGTGGTGTCAGGTCACAGAGGATAAGGATGAACGGTTGCGTTTGGTACACTGGACATGACAGAAAGAAAAAATAATTGTTGTTCCACGTTTGGCGTGGTTTTTATGTGGAACAAACAGGACAGTGTTCCACCGTCACCCCATGGAACAAGGTGGAATAAGGGGAAACAAGCGTATATTTTACCAATATACTTCCAAAATAAAACCTAATTCTTTTCAAAAACATTAAATATGTCTTCATCTTTGCATTTTATTCGTTTTTTAAATTTTATTTATTGTATTTTATCATATTTAGACTTTCGCTTTATTGTTCTCAACATATTATTTTTATATGTTTTCTATATTTTGGTGTAATTCATGTAATCTGTTAAATATTAATAATAATAAAATAATATAAAAAAGGTATAAAATAAATTTTGAAAGTTATATAAAT